CCAATTGGGGATGGCCAGAGCCCTGAGTGTCGCCTTGGCTCCACTGTGGTTGATTTATCTGTACCTGGAAAGTTTGGCATCATTCGTCCAGGCTGGTAAGTCAGTCTCTTTCCTGTGGTATGGGAATAGGACTTGTGGGAGGTTGGAAAGATGAAAAAAAAAAAAAAAAAAAAAACTTTGACAAAATGAAGGTTGTCACTCCTGTCTTGCCTTGAGTGGGTACAGGCAGATATGGAAAAGCGTAAGATGCAGTAGGACTACGTTTGCTAGTGTTTGCTGGCATCTTTAGGATTCAAAAGGACTCATCAAGAGTTTGATGAACGGAGCATAATAAGACCAGCGAGTTTAGGTCCCTGTTCACCTGACTCTGGTGGGCTCTGGGTTTTGGGAAGTCAGACTGTTAACTGTCCTCTGTTTCTTCCTCAGTGCCCTGGAAAGTACGACAGCCATCCTCCAACAGAAATATGGGCTGCTTCCCTCACATGGATCCTGCTAGTGAAACTCGGAGGGAAGGCCCGAGGACTGGTGCTGGATACTATGTGTCTGTCCACTGGTGGTTGGCGAGGCCTCGTTTGCAGAGGCCGCTGGAGCTACATCACTAGCCTGACCCGTTAGGCATTGTATCTTTCCAAACACTGTAGACCAAGCCCCAGAAGCTGCTGGGGAAAAGGCTATATTTATTATTTATAGTTTAATATGTCAGTCAAAAGCCAAATGGGGAGGTTAAGAACATTCCTAGGTGGCCTTGTTCTGATAAGTTTCTTCTCTTTTTTTTTTTTGAGATAGTCTCACTCTGTTGCCTGGGTTAGAGTGCCATGGCATCAGCTTAGCTCACATCAACCTCAAACTCCTGGGCTCAGGTGATCCTCCTGACTCAGCCTCCCGAATAACTGGGACTACAGGCACATGCCACCATGCCCAGCTAATTTTTTCTATTTTTTAATAGAGACGGGGTCTCCCTCTTGCTCAGGCTAATCTCAAACTCCTGAGCTCAATCCATCTATCCACCCGCCTTGGCCTCCCAGAGTGCTAGGATTACAGGCATGAGCCACTTCTCTCCTCTTTTTTAACTGAAAATGGATTTTTTTAACAGACTTGGAATCTTGTAAGACCCTCCACTTCGTTCGGTGGTGGCATTTAAGGTTCAAACCAACTAGAGGTGCCACTGCTGTTTAAAAGTCTCAGGTAACCAAAGGCATGG